TAGTATTTACACAGTAACCGTACATTGCTAAACACTCAGTTGTTGTTGGTATACTCATGTCCTTCTTTATTGTCCCTCTCAATGTCATTTTCACTGCTTGAGTCATTGCTGCTTTCTTTAATCAAGGAATTCCGCTGAGTTGGTGGTTGGCACCCGAGGTCAATAGGTAATGCATCTATTTCAATTTCGGGGACACATTCCATCTCGAATGGTGGTTCAACGATGTGGTTGCTCTATACTCCAAGAAGGTTTCGGGTGATTGCAGAAGAAGCCTCTTGGTGAACATTTTGGTCATCGTCAGTATCCTCATCGTCATCATGCATAGGTAAGTTCAAAATATTTCTATGAAGTATGAATTGTACTACTTTCCAACCACCCCTGATGTTAGTACAGAAAAATCTTCACAACCAAGGTACAATTATCGTACTTCTCAGGGTCGGTGGACGACTCTTCATCCATATTGAGTAAAGTATTAGGGAAAGCATCATTCAATATGTGACACGCCCTGATCCCAACGTCCGGAGGACAGCGGGATGGCCACGTGTTGGTCGACACCCGAGAGTGACTCAATCCATTTAATGAATGCATATGCTGAGAACATGAGAAAACATGCATATAAATTTCACTCGAACTACATAATATAATATTCAAATGCAAACTTTACCAAAATAATATAATAGTATCCAGCCGTCAATAAAAATATAGTGATAATGCATAACATGTTCAGAGCATATATCTAATTCAGAATACAAGCGGAATGTGCTATTACAAGTGAAGTCAAAGTAGAGAGGATGACGCGGTATCACTCGTAGGGAATGCCTCGTAGCTCGGATCGTATGCCTCATTCATATGTCCTGAGGGGGCGCAAAACAAACATAAGTGGACCAAGTTGATATATAATTAATACTGAAACAGTTATTCATCAACGTAATAACCCCCAAAATTTTATGAAAACTCAATGGTATAATATGTAATAGGTTTCCTAAAAACCCTAGCATGCCATAAAATCTTTCATAAAACATATATCATATAGTGTGCTAACTAGTGGTATCGTATATAAGTATCTTCCGGCCGAAACCATCTACAAATGCCGAACCGAAGCCATATATAAGTATCTCCCAACCGAAGCCATCTACAAACGCCCAACCAAAACCAATATAAATATCTCCTGGCCGAAGCCATCTACCAACGCCCAGCCAAAGCCATCTACAAACACCCGGCCGACGCCAATATAAGTATCATCGCCCATAGGCAGAACAGTGACTACTAGATAAGCACAAAACATTGAATATAATCTTTCCAACATAATATATATATATATATATATATATATATATATATCTCATCGAAGCTTAGTAGCTCAAACATCATATCTCAAAACATCTTCATGGTATATAGTCATCCATCATATATACTACAAAGCTCGTAAAAATCGATAAAGTATGGTATTCCAAAATATTCTAGTAAAGCATGATATTTCATAAAGTGTAAATCTAATTTACTCAAAAGCGTTTCGTAAAACATAACCATTAAATCATGTTTTTCATGTATGCATTTCTAGTAGTAAAATATGCATTTTAGAACGGGTCCACTCACAAATAATCCGTCATCAAAGAGCTGTGCGAAAAAGGAAATCGCAGTTAATAAATGCACCTAAGCACATGAAGGGTTCAATTAATAAAACTCTGTCATACCGATTGAATTTCAGAAAATAGATGTCATAAACGGATTCAAGACGTCGAAAAACACAAGGGGGACCTCGGATACCCCCACGCGCAACCGCAAGGTGGCGGCTCCAGCGGCCATGCGTAGCCGTGGGTCGCCAAAAAGTTGGCTGGAAAAGTCGTTGGCGACGTGTGTGCTCTAAGCACCGGTACGAACAACCCTTCACGTGTGTCCACGCGCAGGCCCACGAATGGCTTGGGTTCCTAAGATCCGACTGGGTTTGGGTTTGGGTTCAACGGGCCAAAGGCCCAAGTTCTACACGGCCCAAAGGCATAGGTTCAAAGGGTTTTGGGTTTGGGTTCTAATGGGTTTTGGACTTGAAAGCCTGGCCCAAAGGATTGGATTGGGTTAGCTCAATGAGCCGAAGCCCTTGGTTTTGGGTTAAAGGGTTTCAAAAAAGGAAGAGTTTCATACCTATATCACGTCGTGAGGTGGCTAGAGTTGGCCGGATTTTGGTTCAAAAGCCACAAAGCTCGCCGGGAAAGTTTATTGGGCTTCTTGGGCTTCACAGAGGAGGAGGGAGGTAAAGGGTCGACACCGGTGGACGTGGTGGTGTAGCTGTCGCCGTTGTTTTCCTCGTTTTGGGTGTGTGGGTGTGTGTGTAACTCGGGGAAAAGGAGATAGTGTGCGAGAAAGAGAGAGACTCGGGGGAGAAGAGAGAAGAGAAAATGGATGGGTGGGGGAGCTACCACGTGGCAGTCCAAGAGAGAGAGTGTTAAGAGAAAATCCAAGAGGGAATCCGAATTAGGTAAAGGATAGGGGACAAAAAGGTAATTTCATAAATTTAAAAATATGAAATTACAATTAACTTTGGAGTGGGGTTTCACAATATGTCCATCACTTGGTCGTCATTAACATGGAAATATGTAGAATGTTCATGCCAAACTTTCCAACTCCCAGAACATGTTGACGTTGTAATGGGCAATTCTCAATGATAAGTTCAATTGGAGTAAGTGTGTACCATCCCATTTGAATACAAGTGAAATTGGACTTCGTCCACTGTCATCTAAACACAATTATTATATTCCACGCAAGGACACCTATTATGATTCTAAGCACTGACATGGTTGCTTGCAAATTGAATAAAATTGACGATCCCATCCAAATATTAACTTCTATTTTGCAGACTGATCCACTCCTTGTCTATTGCGCCTATATTTAGATAATTTAGTCATCATAATGATTTCAAATACACTTCATTGCCCCCTTTTGCCTTCGGCAATGATCATGTCCCGTTTGAAAGTCCACTTTCCTTGTTGCAGTTTGCGAATCTCTCGACTATTTTTAGTTGTAAAAAAATTGGTAGCATCTCCCCAGGATTCCCTAAGTGCAACGTATATATTACAGCCAATTATCTAGTATGCACTTGAAGAACATTAGGGGAATACGAATTTTTCACAAACAAAACTTAGGCTCATCGCAAACCCAAAACACATACTAGTGCACTCCTGAACTGTCTGAACTGGACAATTCAAGATTCAGTTAGATCGTGGAGTCACATACGGCGTCTACACACGCATCCAACAAAATCTCAAACAGGCCTAAGGTGCTTTTCGAATTTATTATATGAATTTAATCAGCATAATTAACTTCGTGTAAATAGTTATGAAATTTTACCGAATTTCATGCCACAAATGAATTAAACAAACTCAAAATTGCACATCATACACAATTCCAGCATATATAAATATCACAATTAAATAAATTCAAACTTACTATTTATAATTAAGAGAAATATATACTTTTACTTGAATTTACTTCCAATCCAATCACAAAGCCACACACATCAAAATTAATTAATCACACATTCGAAGAACAAATTAATCAACAAATAAAAATAAACTAACCTTCAATTAATTGGGAGAGGGAGAGATGGAGGAGAGTGTGTGTTTGTGTGTAAGAGAGAGAGGGGCAGGGAGAAGCAGCGGCCGGGAGGGGAGAGTCATCATACAATTTATACACCGCCGTCAAGTATAGCATCGTTTACTTCTCTTTTTAAACCCGTCAGTGTGGTCCTTAAAACGACATAATGAAAGCTTTAGTCGACGGAAGAATGCGTCGGGCAACTCCGCTTAGCTGACAGAACCTAGTTTCATCCCACAAGCCTCAACGAATTTCGTGCCAAGTTTCTTCTTAGTGCCAAAAACTTGTCCGACGAAATTATTCTTGCCTTGCTACAATCTTCTGTCTCCTAAAGGTTTCCAAATGTTATCAATGTTCGCCCTACTAACTAAAGTAAAACCTAGCTAGCTAGCTAGCTTAGTATTACTATATAGTATAATATATTTCAATGAATCCTAAATCTCTCCTCTTTCTTCTGTTTCAATTTTCAACCCATCTGGTGACTCCTTGTCGTTCACTTCTCTAAGGCATCTGGGAACGTGGAGTGTTTTTGTATATAAAAGTTATCGGGTGCTCTAACTTCTTTTTCGTATCTTTTTCACACCTTTTGCCCGACGAATGCATTTTACCCGTTCAAATGGGGTCGTCACCTAAAGATGCTAAGAAAAACCAAAACGGCGTCCAGGTTTGCCCGACCAAGTATTCTATCGGGCTTATGACCTCTGCCCAACGGAGTTAGTTTCCATCGTGCAAAGTTTAGTCGGGCAAGCTGTTAATTCTAGTAGTAATTGTAATAGTGGAATTCATGACAAGGACCATTAAGAGAAAGGATGCGTGTTTTATAATTTATAACTCCCACAATTGACTTCAATTATAAAATAAAAGAAATGGATTAACTACAAGGGTAATGCTAGGTAGACCAAAATTTACAAATTAAATGATGTGTCACAAATATGAAATAAGCACGTTAATCAACACTTAAATAATAATCTAATCATTAACAACCATATCATTTGATTTACAAAATTTAGTTTATAAATTTGGTCTCCCTATCATTAACCTAACTAGAAACATAATGGGTTGTAAAGTTCTCTGATTCAAAACACAACTAGCACATTTGAGGGGATCAAATAACTTGCCAAAGTAATTGAAAGGAAAACAAATGGCTACACATATTTGTATCCCAGTCTCCACTATGGGGATATTATAGGTAATTTCAGTGGTTTTAGCGTCAATCTAAAAAACCAAATATAATAACAAATAATGAAACTAGTGATTTCCCACATTATACTTGTAAGGAGAAAAACTTGTGTAGAGTTTAGCTTACCATTAAACTTTGTTAAGTAATACTACTATCAAATCAAAATTTGCCATGTATTATAATTACATGGTCAGAAAGTATGCTCCCCTCTGGCATGATTAAGAAAGTAAAATGAAAACAAGGAAATCTCTTTTAGTATAAATCAATATCAACTCTTACATGATTTTATGTCAATTTAAAATACATATTGTGAAGATATATTTGAATAGCTATGGGTTAGGCTGAATTATCCCCTCTCCCAAACAGACAAACTATTGTTAGAACCGAAATAAAATGGTTGAGTTCAAGAGGGAATTACATTGTGGTTAGCCCACATGGTACCAAGAGCCAAAGAAACTGTGAGGAAAATCCCCATCTTCTTCAGAAACACACTACAAGTACTCCCATCTCTTATATTAACCAAGCAAACCTTTTCTTTTTTGTTGCTCCACTTAATTAATCCAAGTCCTTCCTTCTTGCTAATGTTAGAATTGCCTTTTTCTTCCACAATCGTTGCAGTTGTAGTTGTGGTGAAGGCATCCATGAATTTCTCATCTTCCATATGTTGCCCAAGATAGATGATCATGTGCATCAATATAAGTGTAACTGCACAAACAAGAGTGCTTGCAATTTTCCTCCATGGCTTTGTTGATTTGGCAATTCCGTCAAACTTTTCCATCACAAGTTCCTTGAACCTCTCAAAGAAAGAACCTCTATCCTTGGACTTTGTTTGTGTAACAACTCTCTCTACCAAAAGGTTCTGGCCGAACACTGGGTTTAGATGGACCTTAACTGTTTGTGAAGGCACTAACTGGTGAAAGAATGTTTCAGCCACCTGCCGAGTTGAAACAAACATGCCGTGATTAACTTGAACTTCTTCGATGACTTCGAAGCTTGGAGAAGTTGAATAGTCATCCATGTTTCCATCATGGAGGAAGTTCTCGTTCGGGTCTTCATTGATGAAACTAAGTGAGAAATCATCATCGTTTGCCTCATTATCATTGAGTTCCTTGATTATGCCACTACGATGCCCAGGTCCTCCTGTAATCGTATCTTTAATTTGTTAGCCGAAAATAAAGAAGAAATGCAATAACCTAAGCGCAAATTAACCTTGGAGAAGAAAGATAAGAAATACAACTCTTGTATATATATATACCTTGAGCCTCATAATGTTGCTCTTCTTCTTCCCTACGAAAAGATGAAATGTTTTCTATTGGAATTATCTTGTGTTCCTCCGTGAAGCTCTATCCAATATCAGAAAAGGAGAATGTATATTAATATCAAGAAATAACAAATAAAAGTAATGCATTTCAATGGAAACCTAGCACTAGGGTTAGCAAGAGATCATTGACTTTTAGTCAAACTGCACTTTCAATAAGCTGGTTTTATATTTTTATGCAAGCCAAGTCTGATGGATGGTAAGTTGATAAGTTAAATTGTAAATTAATGTACCTTCTCCAGATCTTTGTCTGACATTCCTATCCACCTTAGGTTCTCAGCTGTATTCTCCATCCTAAAATCATCCTTCAGGTCTCCAATCTCGATTGACCGTGTATACGAATTTCCCCATGTTTTTTGATCCACATATCTCATAGAATTCAAGTGATCAGTAATCTGATTATAATGTGCATCTCGATCAACCATAAAGCTAAAGTCATTGGCTGGAGGAGCGTAGTTTCCACCCCATGTCTGATCCACATGATTACTGGATTGATTGACCATTTCTTGAGAAACATGTGCAACTGAAAGAATTTCCTGCAAAGCATCAGTTTCAGTACTTGTGGTGTCAAGTGCAGGATTTGAGTATTGCATCGTTTTGAAGTCGTTGAGTCCAACTTGAGGGAAATCCTCCACTTCTAATGGAGGAGGTGAGAGTCGATGCTGCAGCCTTGCACACTCTAATGCTATGTCAACCTGCAAATAGGACGTATGTTGTTAAATATAAACATACGATTCTTATTTGAATTTTTTTACGGTTTAAATTAGTAATTTATTTTTTAAAACTATTAAAATAATTTAGGAAATAGGAGTTATGAACCCAGGACACATGGATAGAAATCTAACAGCCTATTCACTAGGACATTGGACCACTTCTTTTATAATAACATGGCGAAATTTGTAGTATGAAATTTCTCTATAGAACTTTATATATTGACATAAAAATTAGTAATACCTTAGATGGAGGGTATGAAATGTTTTCATGATTGGGAAATGGAGAAAATGAGGACGAGCAATTAAATGCCTCTTTCGATAAGAATTGTGTCCATTTTCCATCTCTTTTTCTACCCATGTCATCAAGTGAATTTTTATGAACAAAGTTTGGTGATGAAGAGCATGCATTATGCATTTGCATCGGATAACTTGAGCTCTCGAAATCTTCACATCTTCCTCCATCAGAATATAGTTCATTAACGCTGGATGAGTGGTCACTGGTCAGCTGGTAATTGGTAGTACTTGTGCCACCGTAATGCTCTCCTATCTTTGGCCCCGTTGCAGTCTTCTTAAAAATACGACATAGCGCATACGCGTCCTGTACATGCATATATATGTTTAAAATTATATATAATTAATTTGCACGAGGGTTTTATTACCATGAAATTTAATTCAAATTAATTGTGAATTTTGAGAAAGAATTAGAAAAAGAACCTGAACCTGCAAGCCTTGTGCAGTTTCACACTCCCTCTCGTCGAGGCGATATTCATGCATAACCCAATTGGTTCGAATGCCATGGGGTGCTCTTCCCCTGTAATAAACTAGGGTTTTCTTCATGCCAACCGCACGCGTCTGTGAGTTTACCTTGCGGTCCTTTCCCGTTGCCTTCCAGTATCCAGCTTTAGTAGCACGATTGGTCCTCGATCCGTTAGGGTACTTTCGATCTCGTGGACTGAAGAAATACCACTCCAGATCTTTGCTGGGCAATAATGACTTTCCTGTATATTTGTTAATATTTCAGTTTGGCTGCTTTTCGTAGATGTTTATTAAAAACACCATAACATTGTACAATGACAGCATTGCCAATGCATTTGTAAGAGTAAGTTCAAGCAGAGAAAGAAATTATCGGGAGACCACATGCATGATCTGCTACTCAGATAATTTAATTATTGATGTGATACATAGATGTCATGAAAACATAGTACAAAATTGTGGTCTCCTCAGCATTATTCCCTTAAACATAACAACAAAAATAATAATCATACCAATGACATATGCAAATATTAATAAAAACACACTCATTTGGAAGAGAAATTCTCACCAAGACATAGTCCCAATGACATCATCTATATATCTAAAAGATGTTTTATCACGTGTTTATAAAATGAACCATTTATCTAATGAATTGCTGACAAAAGAATATGTCACCATTAGAAGAGCAACCGGAATAAACATACATGCAGGCTAGCAGCATAAAATTCTTGAATTTAAGCCCATGTTGCATGGCTTAGTTATTAACTATTACCAATAATTAAGAACACTCCTTGTGGAAAAGGGTGTGAAGGAAGAAGTGCATGTAAACTTGGAAAGCATTGCTTGGAACCCATACCAGTCGCACACAAAAAGCAACCCATACCAGTCGCACACAAAAAGCAATCCTTTTCTTTTTCCATGCTAGCTTTTTGACTTGGTTCTTTCTCTGTCTAACTTTAAAACTTGGTGTTCACAACAGGAACCCTAAAGATCGGTGGACCATGTGTCGGTGGTTTGAAGTTTCTTTACACTCTATTATTATTATTATTATTAGTATTTAATAAGCGCTAATGGATATTTAAAGGTTAAAAGTTCAGCATATTTGACTCATAAGTAAGGAAGTATTTCATCATTAGTTACCAAAATAAACATGAAGTAAGGAAGTATTTCATCATTAGTTACCAAAATAAACATGTACTTAATTCATTGTTAAGTAATTGCGATATGCATGTGGTTTAATATCTTGGTTGATAGAAATTTTATTTTATTTAAAAAAAAGAATAAGTTGGTGACTTCACCACGGCAATCCACCATTCGGGAAAGGAAGACTCAAAGAGACATTACAGCATTCCCCAATTCACCAATGCCATGAATTGAATCCAACACGTGTTTTGTGGAATACGGGCCTAGAATTTGTCCCCAACTACTGGGCCACCCTGTGGTAGTTTTGGTGAATAGAGTGTTGAGTTTCTACTCATACAACCCCCCCTCCTCCTCTCATAACTTCGAACTCTCCCTCCTTCCCTTAAATATAGTTGAATACAAATAAAGGATAAGCATGCCTAAAGGAGGCAAAATATCAAATTCCTTTTATACATAAAACATCGCCCTTAATCAATTTTGAAGTCCCCGTCTTCATTTTAATATTTTGGCACTGGACTGCTATATGTAAACAAATTTATAAATAAGGAATTGTAGGGGAAGTAAACAATTTTAAAGACTCAGGGCCAATTTGAAATTGTTCTGCTTTTAATCAAGGGAACTTTAACGAAAAGCACCTGGTACCGTTCACTTTAACGAAAAACCACATTTTTACACTAAAAAGTCAATCATGGTACTATTCACTTTACCCTTTATTTTGTCCTTATCATTAAAACTCAAAGTTTTCAAGCTTTTTTCATTAGTTTTCCTTTTAATCAATTATTCAATTATGGAGTCATATCTTCATGTTAATAATTGTTATTTCACCTCAATTAATCATTTCCAAAAATTTGAGCCTAAAACATTAGCTTAGGTACTTGAACAATTAACAAGCTAAGCAGTTAATAAAACAATGAACAAAAAGGGAAAGAAATACACTACAAGAAAAACCATTTTTATAAAGACTGTTCAGAGAGGGAGTACCTGGTAAGTCCCATGGCTCACACTTGTAGAGATCAACTTCAGGGATGACCTCTAATTCGATCTTACGGCCATTAATCTTTCTTTTCAGGTAGTAAGCAACTAATTCCTCATCTGTGGGATGGAACCTAAAACCAGGAGGCAATGAAACAGGAGCCATGTATACAGATGGACCTTCTTCTTATTCTTCCCCTTGATGATAATAAAAGGGCACAAATGTTAATAGCTAGCTAACTTGGATGACAAATCCCGTCAATAAAAATCAAGAATCACACCACAACACCCTGCAACAATCAATCAGCAACAAAACCCTAGTTATTAGAGAATTTATGATTAATACACTATTGTACGTACAATTAAACACGCAAAAACCAACCTTAGCTAGCTAGGAGAGGAAGAAGAAGATGAAGAACCAAAGCGGAGAACTGAATGAGAAAGAAACTCGAAAACTTGGGAGAGAGAGAGGTTGGAATGTGTAGGTTGCTTGGGGTTTAGTAAATAAGAGAACAAAAAGGCAACGATGGAAAAAGCAAGCAAATAAAGATGGGGAGGCTGCCACCCCACCCCCACCTGATATTTCCTCTCTAGCTACTTTAACTTTACACATTTCTTTTTCCTCAACCAATCAACATGATCATGATTCCTCCCATCTTTATTTACAAGCTTAATCCATCTCTCTCTCTCTCTCTCTCTCTCTCTCTCTCTCTCTCTCTCTCTCTCCATTGATCCCATGCTTCGATCTTGTCCTTTCTTGGAACCTATTGTCCACGTTTGGAGTCTTAACGGAGGCATTACTGGCCTTTTCTGCAAACAAGTATATTTTCTTAACGAGAAATCGTGGAAACGAATTTCGGCGGCGTTATAACTCGAGACTGTCCTTTTCACATGCTCATCCCCAACATTCCTTCCTCTCTTTTTGTTTCTAATAAGAACCGATTGGAAAACTATCAGTATCTTCCTTTCGTCTTTTCTAGTCATTGGTATAACCTGGCTACCCAACCCAACTAACAGTTTTTCCTTTTTAATTTTCTATTCCTTTTGCTACATATCAAATTTTTGGGTTCTAGTATAATTAATTCAACTGCTATTACTTAACTAGGGGGCTTAAGTTTATTAGCGAAAGTATGTAACTCCGCCTATTCTCCATTATTCATACACGTATGTTCATTTGATGTCCTCATCAGTCAGTACGAAACCAAGGGCAACTCGGGATGGCATGCGAGATTCATGCCTTTTGGCATCAAGAAGAAAATTTCTAGGACCCACCACTGCATAGAACATGTTTATAGAAACTTAAACCCAAAAAAAAATTTAGGGGCTGTTAAAGGTACACCAAAAATGCCATCATGCACTCCTATCAAATGTACTTCCTCTCTTATAAGTATTTCTATATGTTGGTGTTGAAATTTTTTAGATCGACAAGCCTGGGGGGCCCACTAACGACATCGATATTGTTCCCAACTTTACCACCTACCTAATCCAATTAGGTGTGGAGTTTTACCACAAAAGGTCTCAGTATTAGTTAGAGTAGGGTAATCATATTTAAAGTCACCATTGTTGACTTCCACCATCGATGCACGCCCCCTCACGTGTAACCACACATTGGCAATTGAAACTCAGAGGTTGACTCCAATGGAGTTGAAACTCAGAGGTTGACTCCAATGGAGTCTAGACTTGTTTTCAGTCTTTTCAGGAAGTGCCTCTTAAGAACTCAGAGGTTGGCTCTATGTTAAGAGTCCAAGCTTGTTTCCAAGCCCACACTTCCTTGTGACAAGCCCTTGGCTTGCACGGGCTCATAACTGTGGGCTCTGATACCATGAATTTTTTTTTAGATAGATGGACCCAGGGGGCCTCACTCTAACGATACCGATATTGTCCCAAACTTTACCACCTGCCCAATCCGTCAGGTGTGGGGTTTTACCACAAAATGCCTCAGTATTAGTTAGAGTAGGGTAATCATATTTAAAGACATCCTTGTTGACTTCCCCCCACCAATGTGGGACTGCCAACAGTTTGAAGTGTAGGATGACTTCTTTGAAGTGTTGTTAACAATTCCCAAAATTTATCTCGATTAATAAACCTATTAGAGACATATTTTCAAATTGACTCGTATACTGGTGATGGATAGAGGATTATATGATCACCTGGGTGACATTGATCATGAAAGTGTTGAGAGTTGTCCCACATCGAAAAAGAAAGTGTTGAGAGTTGTCCCACATGAGATGGCGTGTTATGGTTGTACAACACTGAAAATGAACTATTTCCTTAGTGATTTAATTAACATAGATATCTCACTTCTATTTTCATTTGGTTTTAGTTTATATGCTCACGCTCTAATAGAAAATCTCTTAGATGCATACAGAAGGCCGTGGCCCCAAGAAGAAAATGCCAACAATTACAAGGGTCCATGGTTTTGCACCGAGATTTACTGGCCCAACCACATACTGAAAAATGGAACCCTGCAAAACTCAGCAATGTGGAAATTTAAAGTTAAAACTTACAGATTTCTCTTAGTTCCAGTTGTTTTGGCTATGAGAGCTTTATCCTTTAGGGTGCCACATATTGTCAATGAAGACTAGGGTTTCACTAACTGTACATGGGGATTACACATGCAGGATACTTCATATGGACTGCAGCCAATGCATAAACACAAAAACTTTCTTCCCTGCAACGTTAATCTACGTAAAAATCTGCCTGCCAATTGACTGTAGATGTATACACGTCCAAATGCAAAGGGCATGTAATTAAAGATCAGCCCTTAAAGGTTAATCTTCTGTAGAGTTCTCATATCCCTCAATGCCATAATTCTGGTATATCAAGCCTTGATTTACCTCCAACCATCTTTCTACATCTTTGTCAGTGAACTTCTTCCGGCTGCAAAACACAACGTCAAGTAGCAACGATAGTCCAGTTTAAATTGATAAGATTATAACACCAACATATATACAGTGTTCTTGGATAACAAGGCAACAAACAGGACAAGAAGTAGGCACTTTTTGCTGTGAAGAAAAGAGATGAATACGGATTTTAATCTAGAGGATGGAAATGTTCGTAAACAAACTAAACCTAATAATTGATAAGATGAAGATACGTCCCAAACTTGTATTGGTTACCTTCAATTATTAATTCCAAGTCTAACATACATCATTAATGCGCAAGTATAGCCAGTAAGATCATTTTCAAAATAGTGGTAACCTAGACATGGAATGATTCAGATAGAAAATACCGAAAATTCACTCGCTTTAACCCCTTTTGTCCATTTGGCAAGACAACAAGCGTGAGATGCACTCCAGGTTCAAATTGTTCTACCCATTCAAGCTTTGCCGATTTAGTTTCTCTACCATGGGGTTCTGACTTCGGCGTATCAGACAACACAGCAGGCGAATCCGATACACTATCTACTTCAGGAAGTTTTGTATTTGTATTCAGTGGCGTGAGTTGAGGAAGTTTTGTATCTATACCATTGTTTGGTTGCTTTCCAGCAGACGCCTTTTCTGAAATAGTTTTAAGCTGCACAAAATAAATTATATGTACTTTCAGATCTTGTAAATTGAATATTGTGGTTTTTTTAATCATTTGAAGAAATGCAAGGTAGATGCATGATAAATTTCCAATTTAGTGACTAGAAGGCCTACAAAGAAGTGGGAGTGAGAATATAAGACTCTCATTAGCTGTATTTAAGGTAAGTTTATGTTTAAAACTTTAAAATCATGTGAAGCAACTCTCGTTGTTATGTATCAGGAAAGCATTTCAGAAAAGTTAAATAAGGGATGGATAGAGGGGGAGTTACAAGATCCATATAGAAAGATTCATTATTTTGGGAAAATTCATCGACCAGAAAAAGATCCAAGGAAAGAAGCAAAATGGCCCTCGAAGAGATTGAAACTGAAGTAGGATTATGAGTGTGCACAAACAAGGTAGAATTGTTATCGTACAGATAATAAGAAGGGCCAGATATGAATAATATCGAATGATAAGGCAGCAAGTACAATGTCTACAAGTTCCATGCCATAGAGAAGTGTGTGACAACTGTAAAACAAGGAACAAAAATGAAAATCGAGTCGTAAAAAACAGACATGAACTTCCTTCAAAAGCAAAATGGAAAGTCAGAGAGTGAAAATCGACAGCATTTTTATAAACATAACCCCTTAATTTTTAGGAGAAGCAACACATTTACCCTTAACGCCAAAGCTTTTATAACCTCCTTTGCTGCCTTACATGTAGCCGCTTCATCCCTTGCCAGAGACCATGTTTCCTCAGTCTTCTGCTCACATTCATGAATCTTCTGGCTTCCAATTTTGCATTTCCTTTCAAGGTTGTGTGCCTACTATGAGCAAAGTGAACGACAGATGCAAAAGAGTATAAAAATATATTTTTATACAGCTAATAGAAAGCATGCAAACATCAGTTCAAGAAAAAGTTTATATAAAGTAGTAAAACTTACCATACCTTCCTAATTGCCTAAATGGTGACTGTAAGTTCAAAACTAGGAACTGAACACTGACAAGTTTTCAAGTGTGTGCATACACCAAAGAATAAGAATAAAAATGGATACGAACATAAGCAACAAAATTAATAAGATAGAATCACCTCAACTGTCAGCCGCTGTATTTCTTCAATAACCATCTCATCTGACGTGGATATGCATTTCTCTGCGTTACTGGCACCGGACATTGTGGATTCTGAATGCACTAGGATGACAGAAGATAAATGATCTTTTGACAGAGAGTTAAGTGCTGTATAATTTTCTCTATAATACGGTTTAAATAGATCAGGGCATGAGACTTGGCCCCATCGTGGCTCTTCGCTCAAGGAAGAAGAAGCTGGTTCTAGATGCTGCTGGTTTCCTTCTTGGTTTTTCATGGTGGTGGTCCTCACACCAGACTGGCGTTTCTTGTTACAAGCCTGTTTGATAGATAATAGATGACCGTACTTAGGTGTTTCTCCAGCCTTTTCTTCTTTCCTGTCTGGGACTGACTTTTCTTCGGTCAATAGCTTTATGCTACTATGATTTTCTTGCTTGAATGATCTACATGAATGTGTAAGTTTCTGCAGATTGCTAAAGCATGAATCACAGACTCGAAAAGCCTTGCCTTTCTTGGGTGCCAGCGAAGAATCCATAGCCTTCTTACTGCTACACGAATGGCAGAATAGAAGACCGCAATTGTAGCAGTTGTGCTTCTTCCTAGTAAACCCAAAAGGTAGGTTGCATCGATAACAAGCTGACTGGTTGCTGACAGAAATAGATTTGTGAACGCAGATTGCAGCTGTTGAATTTGATCCACAAACAACACTTTCTACCTGCTTGTCTCTCAAAGCCTCCACAAAAGTTGGTGTGCTACGATCGTTGATATCACCTAATCCCAACTGTCCATTAGTCCCCTTTCCCCAGGTATAAACATTTCCTCTGGCTGTCAAAACAGCTATATGATATGAAACGGATGCTATTTCTCTAACAAACTCTTCCTTAAGCTTCCCTTCAACCAATGTGATTGATTTATCCTTGGCTTGAGCATTCCCTAACTGCCCATGTACTGAACTTCCAATTGTATAAACTGCACCTTTATTGGTAAGCCCAACAGTCAACATTCTTCCACAACAAACTTGAACAAAATCATGATCCACAAGCTGCCCAACGCAAGTTGGTAAAAGCTTCTTCTCATGATCCACATGTCCTAGCCTCCCTCTATCCGCATCACCCCATGTAAACAACTTCCCACCAATTGAATTGGACCTGAGACAATCGACCATGATTTCAACTACAGCAGCCATGTGCCATGATCCGCATGCAGCAGATTTTACCCATAAACCCTTGAGAGATTCAACTTGCTTTGGTTGATAAACACTATAAAGATTTCCGTGCCCCAGTACCCCAAAGGTTCCGTCTCCATATGTAAATAAATTCCCAGAAGTGGACACCATAGCTGTATGCCATTCCCCACAAGCGACATATGATACATTTATATTATTCAACGGACCAGAAAGTTTATGCGGTAACCACTGACTGATACTCTTCTCCTCGGCCTCTAAACTGGCACCGCAACTTGTGTCTCCCCATGTATAGAGCTCACCAGAATGTGTCAGAGCGCATGTTTGATATTCACCACACGAAACAGATTTCACCTGGATCCCATTAAGGGAGTCAACAGGTTTAGGGTTGCTCACATCCATATTGATTTTGTGCCCTAGTCTTCCCCCATTAGCGTGACCCCAGCAGAACACTTCCCCCTGCTTCGTAACTACTGCAGCATGCTTCCCTCCTAAAGATATATTCTGTACATCCATTGTCATAGTTGATTCTAATAACTTAGGCAGTAAAGCATCTGCTTGCAATCCACTTACATTCCCTCCAATACTTTCACCCCAGATCATGACATCTTTCAAAATATTGTCCTTTTCAATTCTTGAGGTTCCATAGGCATAGGAAACAAACCTGTGAGGCTCACAGTCGGCATCAGAATATATTCGCCTCCTCTTGAGATAATCTGATCCAAAATATGGAGAATCTGGAACTGAGATGTCCATTACATTTTGCATATTTGATAGGACTGACTCCGACGAATAAAAGCTATCAGAAGAAAAAGATATGCCATCAGAAATACACCTCTCAGAAAGTGTTAAAGTAGGACTCCCGCATACGCTTTTCACCTTCAAAAAAATCAATAGACGAAAAATTGAATGATGGTTAAAAATGCATCTCCTAACATGGTCTAACTAAATGAAAACTAAACTCAGATATTGATATGCTACTGATTGAACAATAGAATAGTTGGAGAAACGAGAAAAAAGTAAAAGGTATAAAAACCTGGGAGAACTCGTTGTCATCATCCACTATTCCAAGAGTTTGCCTTCTCCTAAAAAGACCTGCCGGACTATTTAGACAACTTTGCACCTGTCTGAAACTCCCCAAATTATTAAGTGGTCTAGGATGGCGATGCAGGGATGTTAAAGCCCTCAACCCTAAAATCCAAAGATCACATTGGATTTCATCTTTGCACATCTGTATAAAATGAACAATAAAAATTAATGAGATACAATAAGCAAAGGAACTAATGATCTTAAGGCATTGAAGAAATAGACTTGAATCGAGACATCAGATTACCAGATCAAGTGAACATTCACTGTGTGCATAGACAATTGAAAATGACTGACCCTTCCTTTCTGGTTCCAGTTTCCCCCGTAAACTAACCTGTCATAAGTGGAACCGCCTATGATATAGAGCAAAGAAGCATATTGCTAAACAATGTGTGATGTTAAGAGTTAAATAAAACAAGTTAAAATCTGACGTCAATCTGAATTACATACTGTCCACTGTCCGGGTATAATTTTTGCGACTGAGCTCAATTTCAATTGCCTTTCCTGCTTTCTGGAACACCATATCAAAAACTTCTCATCCTGACATCCAGAAAAAAGTGAAACTCAGGTATCTATCATTACTCTGCTTGATAGCAATAAAGGGACAAAAACTAATAACTGGATCAACGTTTGTACTGCTATCAAGGGGATATGAACCAATTGATTGTCAGATTCCAATTCTAACTTCAAAAAAGAGTAGCAATGCAAGTAGCATGAAAGTTGAATATTGATTAATAGATCATACAGATTTGATAAATAGGACATCAGCATGTAAAATAGTTCCTCTTCGTGCTGGATTTTTATGAACATATTCAAAACAATTGCCGAGAAATACGTTTTCCAAGCTGGCAATAATGTAGACTATAAATCTTACAGCACCCTCCTGGTAATCAATCACCACATTGCAAATATGTAAAAGTTTAGCTATAACAAAGGTTTTGCGGTTGGCCAAGAAAATGTTACACAGGGTAGAAAGGTTTAGCAAGTTGTTTGATAATATGGCATAGAAAATGGTCTAAAATCTTAAATTAACCCCATGAGAGTCAGTCCCATGGGATTTTTTCTGGGGTGAGGACACCTTTGTTACCAACCAAAAGATAATTGTAATAATACACTTAAGTAGTGTTCTGCAGAAACAGACAGCTCAATCAAATTTCATGAGCATTGATCCAGAGCTACATGAAGATTGCACATATTGAAATCATTGATGCCAAGTTACAGTACAGAAGTCTACCGTGGAAAGCCGGAAAGGGCAGAACTTGGGCTTCCCTCTTCGTCCATATTTCAGCAGATAAGCACCCCTCTTCATAGAGACAACTGCCTGTTCAAACATCAAAATGGAATTTTTTTACCGGACATAAAGCGAAAATCAGAAGAGAAGGAGAGCTTGGGAAAATGGGAAGAGAAGACTCAAAGACTTCAATCTATTTCTTACTCAACTTACTTAAAATTCACAATATTATCAAAATAACGGTAAACATGCGATTAGAGTCTTAAAAATATTATATTATTCTAACAAGTAGATGGTTCCCCACACAACTTTTGGTTCTATGGATTCATATCAACTGGCAACCTATTTGAAATCCCAAAAGAGATATCTTCAAAGAAAATAATTTCTAACTTAAAGAACTGCAATTAAAATATGATTATTTTATTAAACAAAAGCTTCAAATCAGTTGTATCTCCAGACTTCAGTGATATATGGTTAAACAACTGAACAGAAATGTGAATTGTACCACAAGAAAAATTCTGAAGTACCAATAAACGATACTAAATCCCATAAATATTAAAAGAAAATTGATGTAAAAGAATGCAGAATTTAAATGCATTGATGGATATGATGAGAAAGGAAAAAGGAAAAAGGAAAAAAGAAGGGTAAGAAGAGGAAACCTGTTGTATTGCTCTGTCAAATGCAACAGTTGACAAAGAATGTTCGTCCATTTCTGTTTTTTGGAGAGAGAAAGAGAGAGAAAGAGAGGAGGAGAAGAAGAAGAAGAAGAAAGGCTTGAATTTCCCCACAGAATCAGAGAATGTGTGAGAAGCAAGAATGCACTGATGGGTCAATCAGTCTGACCAATTTAAACTTTTTAAAAAAAAAAAAAGCAATAATAATGATAATAGAGGCAAAAATGAGTGAGATATTATGTTTCCTTTATGGTGTTTTTTCCCTTTTGTTTTATATTTTGTAGGACTGCATTGGTTGTTATATGATTACGACAAGTGAGTGGAACTACACATGAATGTCCACAATTAGAAAGATTAAGCGAGTCAAATTACACATGAATGTTTGGTATTGGGGTGATTATGCAGTCTATACCAAATATTTTTCTAATGTATTAGAAGATTAAGCGAGTCAAATTACAGATGAATGTTTGTTACTGGGTGATTATGCAACCTACCCTTTTTCTAGCAATTGAAAATAACATTTTTTTTTTTTTACGTGAGGGGAAGTTCGGCTAAGCCACACAATGGACAGCCTAATTTGGTATCGAATTCGTCATCTACAAAATTCAAACCTAAAACCTCTCCTAATGGGAAAAGGAAGACCACCAAACTATAGTACTGATTGGTCATAATCTTGCTTTTAAATATAGATTTGATAAAATTTGATTCTGTAACGCCATATTTTAGTGCTTTCCTAATGGGAAAAGGTTGGAGTTTCGGGATGCATAATTATAGGAGCACAGTTAGGGATGAATCAGCACAAAATTAAGGGTACCTTAAAAAATGAAATCAAGTTTGTATTTTGACTCCTTAATCTGCCCCCAAAGACAAAATTGATTTTGACTTTTTATACATGGATATCCTGTTAGTAATCTTAACCAAATCTTCCATTTACATCGATTTGTATAAGGGAGCACCCACATGCCCTTCAGATAGCACAGAGGTTGAAGTTGGAGGAGGGGTGAAATTTGATGGGAACCTTGCCACTTGCGGTTTGGCTCTCTATTTATGTTGCTTGTAACTCAGAATTATAAATTAAGTTTGTCAGAACTATAGTCCTATAAAGTTGTCATGACAATTTTTTTCAATTAATGAAATTGTAATTAGTGTTTATAGTCGGTCTGTGCACCATATATCATCTCTTATGGATAATGTATATACACCATATAAATTTCATAATCATAATGGTTCAATTTCTTAATCTTCATTTGAAGATCATATTTACAAAGAATCATTCAGATCATATATGTGTATGCATCCAAATGGAGCTCTCCCCTTATCTCAATTGGATAATTCACATATCCCACCCCTTGAAAAACTTTGGCATCGAGACCTTCAACGATTGGGCAATGAAAGGCTCGACAGTCTCAGCGTCGGAAAGGAGAGAGAGCTATTTGGAGGAAGAGGGAGGAGGAGCCTAAGAGGTGGTTTGAGTGAGAGTGAGTAATACAAAATAAAGGGAGAACAAAAGTATTGAGTTAGGGGTTAGCAGGTTAAAAGAAAAATACAGAAAGACACCAAACTCATCTAAAACCAAAAGAAACAGAAAAATACAGCAAATTCATCCAACTTCAAACATTGTAGTACAGTAAAGAAAAATACAGAAGACACTACGGCAACAATTTTCTTGAATGCAAGCGATATTCTACAAAACACTGCCACAATTTTCTTAAATGCAAGCGATATTCTACAAAACACTGCAACATTGAACTTTACTTAAAGAGAGAGGCCAAAATTACAAAATCATAACATGTCACAAAGTTCCATTTATTTAGCTGAAAACAAAAGTTTTCAAACTGTCCCCCTTGAGAAGACTCATTTTCCTATTCTCGTACAATACAGCGACTGATCAAGAAGGAGCATGATTATTTGTTCCTTATTTTTCAAAGTATTAGAACAGAAATTAAGAGATCAAGTACACAAAGTACTAGTAAATCCGATCATCAACGAAGTAAGGATTATCGATCTCTATTCAAATCCCATCATCTTTTTGAGATTGATGACGAATTCATAGACTTTTTCTGGGTCTGGAATGACTTTGGCTACTGTCTTTCTCTGCATGCACCTATTAATCCAAGCAGACAACTTTGGTGTGTGGTCTTCAACCTTGAAGTTTCCAAACTTTTCATATGCAGAGAACCAGCTCGTTATACCGATCGTTATGATGTCAACAAAACCAAAGCTATCTCCACCGAAGAAATCTTTGTCCCCGAGAAATTTCTCTAGCTGCTTTAAGACTTCTATAAAGTCTTTTACAGCTACCTCTTGTGCTTCTCCTTTGGTCCTCCATATACTGCTTCCTGCATCGTACAGCTTCATGTATACAATCATGAAGTTAGACCTATATATACAAACATGCGGCTTACTATTGGGTCATCAAGGTTTGGTTACTCAATGATACGACAGTAATACTGTGTTACTTGTTAAAAATGCAAGTTCATATTTGAATGATTAAAAAGCTCATTTTTTCACCATTAGTGTATCCTCATGTTACTAATTGATAAAAATAAATAAGATTCAAAGTGAGCAAACGTAGATTTTGAATACTTAAAAATCCGAATCATTTAGTAAACTAATTTGATAACAAAAAAGAAACATCGACCGAAGAGAGGACCTAATCAAATCTCAAAAAGTATATAAAAGAAACCAATTAACCTTTTTGTCAATGTAGTCGGCCTGGAACTTGGCCTGAGCACGAGCATAAGGGCAAGATGGGAGCAATGGTGGAGAAGCCCAGGTCTCATCAACGTAGCCAACAATGATGCTTGACTCACACACTGGTTTTCCCTTGTGAAGCAGCACAGGCACCTTGGTGTAAATCGGGTTGGATGTGAGGAGCAGCTCACTCTTGCCTCCAAATAGATCTTCAGCTCTCTCTTCATATTGGATGCCCTTTTCCTCCAACACAATTTTCACCCTCATGCAGAAAGGGCTAACCCAGCAGTCCAAAAGAACAACATCTTCCGTCGACATCTCTATCGATTTTCTCCTGTGTATATGATTTTCTAGAGTTTGAGGTATATAACACAATGAAGAAGATGTGGAGGAATTTATAGGGAGTGTGTGTTCTTAATTAAATACTTGTTAATTAGGAGATGGAATTTTCGATGTTTTGTGAGGTGTTCTTGTTTTGCCCTCCAAAGAGGATAAACTCTTGTAAGTTTGTTAATTTAGTACATGTTAACTAGCGTTAAGTGTTTGTCAGTTGGAGCTAATTATGCTTCAAGAAAGGTTTTGTCTTAAGAGTATGGAGTATATATCTAGCTAGAAAGCCGGCTCACAAGAAGTTTCAGGTTTTGATCGACAGGTATATCTCTTAATTATTTGTTGGTATCTCTTTGTTAGTCTGCAGAGAAACCATAATATAAATTACAAAATAAGAACAAACCAGCCGCTCTGAAGTTAAGTTGCTTGTCCACCAATTTGTGATTACCGTAGTTTTTGTAACCATTTATCCTATTTATCATTAGCTAAAACATAATCTCCACATTACGGTTGCATTTCTTCCAGTCACCTATTCCCACAATTTAACAATTTTGATAACAATTAACATTTTCACACCGTCTATTTATTATATATATATGAATGATTAAAAATAATCTTCTTTTTCTTTTTGATGAATAAAAGAGGACAACTAAGACACCCCCTAGGCCGACACAAAACCCTAAAGCAAGAAACAACAACAACAACATAGCCTTATCCCACTAAGTGGGGTTGACTGTATGAATCCTAGAACGTCATTGCGCTCGGTTTAAGTGGGGTCGACTGTATGAATCCTAGAATGTCATTGCATTCGGTTATGTGCCACATATTCCGTTAAATCCAAGTACTCCAAGTCTTTTCTTAGAGTCTTTTTCCAAGTCTTCCTGGTCTTCCTCTACCCCTTCGGCCCTGAACTTCTGTCTCGTAATCGCATCTTCTAACTAAAGCATCTGTAGGCCTTTGTTTCATATGTCCAAACCATCTTAACCGATTTTCTCTCATCTTTCCTTCAATCTCGGCTACTCCTACTTTACCTCGAATATCCTCATTCCTAATCCTATCATTTCTCGTGTGCCTACACATCCAACGAAGTATTTTCATCTCCGCTACACTCATTTTATGTACGTATTGATATTTCACCACCCAACATTCGTGCCATCAAGCATTGATGGCCTTATTGCCGTCCTATAAAATTTGCCTTGAGTTTTAGTAGCATACGACAGTTGCACAACACACCCGATGCATTCTTCTACTTCATCCATCAAGCTTGTATTCTATGGTTGAGATCTCCATCCAACTCTCTATTCTTTTGTAAGATAGATCCTAGGTGGCGAACGCTGTCACTTTTTGGTACTTACTGATCTTCAATCATCACCCCTAACTCATTTGAACCTTCGTTCGCACTGAACTTGCAGTCCATATATTCTATCTTTGACCAACTTAGGCGAAGACCTTTAGATTCCAGCATTTCTCTCCAAAGGTTAAGTTTCACATTGACTCATTCCTGAGTTTCATTTATTAACACTATATCGTCTACAAAAAGCATACAACAAGGAATATCTTCTTGAATATGTCATGTTAACTCATCTATTACCAATGCAAAAAGGTAAGGACTTAAAAATGAGTCTTGATGTAACCCTACAGTTATGGGAAAGCTTTCGGTTTGTCATTCATGAGTTCTTACTACAGTCATTGTTCCATCATACATATCATTTATAGCTTGGATATATGCTACTCATACTCATTTCTTCTCTAAAATCCGCAAAGAATATCTCTTAGGACCCTATCGTACATTTTTTCCAAATCTTTAAATACCATGTGCAAATCCTTTTTCATATCTCTATATCTTTCCATCGATCTTCGTAAGAGATAGATTGCCTCCATGGTTGAGCGTCCTGGCATGAACCCTAATTGATTGTCCAAGACCCATGTCTATTGCCTCAATCAATGCTTAGTTACTCTCTCACAAAGCTTCATTGTATGGCTTATTAAGTTAATACCCCTATAGTCAGGGGTGGAGCCACATGGAGGCCAGGCTAGGCCTAGGCCTATCCTGAAATGGTTAGTGTATTTTGACAATCCCATCATCACATGGGTTCGAAACTCATTGACATCAACAACCTTTTGCTTTTTTTAGTTTAAACTAAACTTATAATTAGGTTTTTGGTTTACCATATAACAACTAATTTCAAATTAGAGGAAAATCCAATTATGTTGAAAGGAAAATCTCATGGTAATAGTTTTGAATTATGGCCTTAAATTTTTGTTTGAATCTTCTTTTTTGTTTTTTTATTGAAGCTCGTAAATAAGTGTTGTTCTTATAATATAATCATCCCAATACTTAATTTTTCATAATAATTTAAATCTCCATTACTCTTGTTTGATAAATTTTCTGTGCCAATAAAAAAATTTTAAATTTTCTAGAAGTAATCATATTGCTATATTTAATCTGATTTCTTTTATGTGTTTGAAATGCCCCTCATGAGCAGAATTTATGGCTCCGCCATTGCCTATAGTTCATGCAATTTTGTACGTCGCCTTTATTCTTGTAAATACGTACCAAAGTAATATGAGAGAAAATCAGTTAAGGTGGTTTAGACATATAAAAAGACCAAAAAAAAAATCCCATCTGAAGGACGAATATTGAAGCCGCCGCCGAGCCACCATAAAAACCAGGCAACCACCACCGAGGTCGCCCAAATCGCCAGACTTCTCCTAACGCCCTAGCCTTCGTGATGAACACCACAAGCCTGGTCCAATAGTCGCCACCCGAAGAGTTACTGGAACGAAACTTTGATGCTGAAGAAACCACTACCAATATTGCGATGAAAGGTAGCGATACGAGGACCATAAACGACGTTATGCGCACATTCCCATGCAGAAGCTAAAATTCTCTTTAAAAAGTTTGCTTTTGAAACGGGTGTCGAATTCATTTTAAAGAATCCTTACCACTCAAGCTATCCAACTGTAACATCCCACATCGCTCAGGGGAGTGGATCCTCTAAGCTTTATATGTACATGTCCATCTCTTTTTAGCACGAGGCATTTTGGGAGCTTACTGGCTTCGGGTTCCATTGGAACTCCGAAGTTAAGCGAGTTCGTTCAAGAGCAATCCCAGGACCGGTGACCCACTGGGAAGTTCTCGTCTGAGTTCCCAGAAACAAAACCGTGAGGCCGTGATCGGGGTCCAAAGCGGATAATATCGTGCCACGACGGAATCGAGTTCAGGATGTGACACAACTGCTTACACAAGATCAAGATAAGTGAAAAAAAAAACACATGGTTGTAATCTGGGGAAAAAAAACATGGCGTCATTTATGCGGCTATCAATGAAGATGGAAAAACCAATTAGCTTAGGGTGATCGGGGTTGCGTGGCAATACCCACAAAAAATAATCTTCTCATTGTATTCAAAGGAATGCTTAATCCCTCCACAACCACCTAGAATTCATGAAAAAAATGACTTTATTCGCTTATCCAGTTTTGCGTTCGAGGGTTTTTTTTTTTTTTTTTTTGGCATACATTATCTGTCTATTTTATCCCCATGTTGGTTTATATGGGCTCTATTGTCATAAACTATAGTTTATAACTTTATTGGGCTCGGCCTGCATTTTGCTTTGTTATTGGGCTCCACTAATGTGAGTGGATGTTATCAAAATAAAGTTGACCACACCCAACACAACACCCACTCTCCTCCTCCTTTAACAAAAAACACCCAGTACTGTTCACTTCAACGAAAAACCACATTTTACATTAAAAAATTAATCATGTACTATTTAATTTACTATTCAACTTACCGTTTATTTTATCCTTTTCATTTAGGAAATTAGTATTCCTCCTCCTCCTCTTCCGCCCCGCCTCCACTTCCTCCTCCTCCTCCTTCCTCTGTTTTGTCGTCGTTGGAACATTCCTTTCAAAGTCGGTCAATGAAAATACAGTCAATTTTGTACAGAATTACAATATTTGATTTATTCGCAAGGCACCGAAAATTCAAATACTTTCTTGTCCGATCAGATGTTTGATATGATGAGAAGAGTAACACTAGCATGATAGGAGCTGTGCCATTCGGGGTGCTGGCTGCGTGCGTCGTCGTTTTGGTCCCAATGGCCATGGCCGGATACCATCTCAGCCGCAAAAAGATGCTTTTCTTCAGCGGCACTCTCTTCATCGCTCTCGCCATCGGCGTCCACCTCAGCCCTTACTTCCCCTCCGTCAACGACTTCGTCACCACGGTCTCCTCCGTCGTCGTCTTCGAGAACCGCCGCGACTCCTGCCTCTCCCACCTCCACGACGTTGTTTGGGAGGTTACTCCTTCCCCCAATTTCAACGCCCTCGACAGCAACACCGTCAATTACGACAAGTCCTGGGCTTGGCCTTCTTCCTTCGCCGTTTCTGCATGTGGATTTCAGAAGCTGGGTCGTTTCGACGCCTCCGATCTGCTCAACGGCTCGTGGGTCGTGGTGGCCGGAGACTCTCAGGCGAGGCTGGTGGCGCTTTCGCTGCTCAGCCTGGTTCTGGATTCTGGGCCGCTGGAGAAGGTTAACAAGGATCTATTCAAGAGGCACAGTGATTATCAGATTGTGGTGGGCGAGATTGGGATGCGATTGGATTTCATCTGGGCTCCTTATACTGTGAATTTGACCAATCTGGTGTCGAAGTTCAAGCGAAATCGGAACTTCCCGGATGTGTTGGTGATGGGTTCTGGGCTATGGCACATGCTGCACTTCACCAACGCTTCAGATTTCCGTGTTCAACTGCAATCACTCAGGAGATCTGCGGCGTCCTTGTTGCCAGTTTCGCCGGCGATTGGCTCTGAAAAGCCGGAAACCAGCTCGGCTTCAGGCTCTGGTTCGGCCCGGACGCCACACTTGTTCTGGGTTGGCATGCCCACGTTGATAAACTCGATGTTGAATACGGAGGAGAAGAGGGAGAAGATGACTGATGCAATGCGGGGTGAGTATGATAAGGAGCTTCAAAAGAGTAAGCTTTTGCGGAAGTCCGGCGGTCCGCTTTGGTTACTGGACATTGAGTCCCTGAGTTGGAATTGCGGGGTTCGATGTACGGTTGATGGAATGCATTATGATATGCGTGTTTACGAAGCAGTGCTGCACATCATGCTAAATGCATTGCTCATCGAGTCTCACCAGAAGCTTTGATTTGATTCTTTTTGTTTTCTCTTGGTATATGTCCTGCTCCGGCTCACTGGTTTGATTCCTTATGGAGTGAGCTTTTGATTCGTCAGGGAGGTTGGTTGGCTCCTTTGCTTCCTCCTCTTATCTTGCATCTTCGGTTTCTGCCAGGTTTCTCTCTTGGCCTCGGAAAACTCGGTATAGTTTATGTGAGATAGCAATTGAGATTGAAATTCATTTGTATCTGATTTGCATTAATCTGAATATTGAATATACTTACTTGTATTGTGTAGTCTGTACTCAAGACAATTCACAAAGAGCTTCCTGGATAGAAAGTACATGTCCCTTTTTTTTTTCACACTTTCGTAGATCACAGCAGACACGATTCTTTGCTAGCTTTAACTCCGCAGCGAGTTTTATGGTTTTGCACCATGTTTTTTTGAAGTTATTTTCTGTTATCGTTCGTAAGAAATCCAGTGCACATGAAGCTTGTAGCTTTTACCTGTTTTTAAGGTTTATGTAGCTTTTACCTGTTTTTAAGGTTTATGGACTAAGTATCCATAAAAGTAGCTGCTCTCTTTAGGAAAAGTTGTTAAAGTTGACACATAAATTGTATTCTCATTAGGAAATTGTAGAGGAGAGCTAAACAAGTATAACTTTGCTTTGTATAGAATACTAGTGACACCTTCCAAAATACTACAACGTGAACTAGCTGGCTGCATTGGCATCATATTGTTTGCCTCCAAGTGTGAACATATACTTGGAACTTGTATATTTATCGGATGGGGAAACGTCATTAATTTCTGTTAGAAGGATGATATTGAATATGCTTGTGGTTATAGTAAAATAGTCTTGGCTTTAAGTTCATCCCGTCTGGAAGTTGAATTCAAATACAGTTCCTTGGCTTTTTTAGTAATGAGATACAAAGAGGAAGAGAAGACAAAGGGGGAGACACTATCCATCCAGAAGAATAATTTTTTGGATCGAAACCTTGTTGATGGACTCGACGTTTTTCTGGGATGGTTAATCCAAAGATGTTTGTATTTAGGGTCTTATTCTTTAAACTGACAAGGGAAAACAGTAATAAATGATTAGGTACCAAAGAAATTAAAGTTTTCTGGCTTGCCGTAGAACCCTGGTTATGCAAGGACAGTTAACAAGTGGGTTGGAATGGAAGGTACTAGCTCCGTATTTGCTCTTAATATGCAGTGGTGTTTCAAGGTTCATTACGAACTCTTATCTCTAGCAAGTATAAGCTTCTCTCAAGGATTGTGGTGCAATCTAACCGTAGGTGCGATTCCTAGGATCCCCTCTAGTCTGATGCTAGTGTTCTCTACCTTTTCACTATGGTTGCTTGTCCTACATCATTGTGTTTTTGCCTGGCCAATCCGAAGTTAAATCATGTTACTTTTGTGTTGTGTTTTCTTTTGTGTTGTCCTACATCCCCATGTGGATCTTCGAGTGTTTAATCGACTTTATCGTGGCTTCTGCTGGAGCAAATTTCGTGGTGTTTCTTGGTTTGCACGTACCATGGATCGTGTGTGCTACAGTACTGAATATGAAGGTCAAATCTGGCTGAACAGTTTAGAAAAGTATGGTTATGTAGCAGTTTAGGGTAATGGTTGCTTTGGCATGCAGCTATGCATACGTTGGATGCAACTTAAGTTGTGCAGTTGATGGGATTTGCTTCTCCTTCTGAAATGGGAATGACTCCTCTCCGCGACACTCTCATTCCAGGTTAGTAAACAAATCGTTAGGTTCGTGGGAGTTATCGGGACTTTATCGCTATCGATTGAGAATGACAACGGATTATAGACATGCTGCTCCATTGTGAGCAGCAAGCACAATTGCAAACATGCCAAACAAAACTATATGTAACCTAAAGAAAATTCCCGCAATAAATTTGATATCCAATCATGAACTTTCAATCATGAACCACCACACCAGAAGCAGAACCAAGCAATTTATCAGTAGTTACAAACTACACTCCGCCAGTACACCCTCTCATCATCAGACCGCTGTGCAGCTCCAGAGACCTCCCCAGCTACCGTGGCAACAGAGCAGTTCTATCTCAATCCCTTGCGATTCTATCACCGTGCACCCCTGAGCACCAGCATACTCTGCAACCTATACCTCAAGATCAGTTTACATTCCGGGCCCCTTTAATAGTTAAGCTTCGGCATAGGTCTTTGTACAACAACATCATCCGCAATCTAACTGTACTTCATTACCAAAAGAAAAATAGAACAAGCAACAAAAAGGGAAGATATACAAAACTGGTCTCTCTTGCACGATTTCGTTGAAACAGTGCTTTTAAGAATCAAACTGCTTCCCTTCAAAAGTCTGCCCAAAGTTCCAAGCCTTGGGAGCAACGTTGTAAGATGTAACTGTGCGCCCATCGCTGCTTGTGACCTCGAAAGAAAGAGGTTGGTTCAGTAAATCGGCACTTGCATGCCAGTTTTGGCCCCAATTCCGTCCCATTGGAAGCCAGCCGGTTCTTGAACCCTTGATCTTCACGGCAACAATGTCTCCAGCACCACCAACATTGCTGATGAGCACTGAGATAAAGATATTAGAACCATCTATGGTGAAACGAATTCCTCCTTCCTTTCTACACTTGATCCTGTTTCAAACACAATGAACAAAAATAAGAGGAAAAACCACAAAAGGGGATTTTGCACTCCAGACTAACACTTTCTTAGTTCAAAAAAATGAAACTCTGGACAATGTTTTCTCATTTTCTTGAAAATATGAGGTGAGATGCCTCATTTGTGTGGTGACTGGTGAGCGAGCTCCCATGCCTCAGCATATGCCAAGGTGCCACCAATTTCTGACATGGTGTGTGTGAATCTTGAAAATCGAACATTGTTCCATCAAATATGCAACCAGAAAACCTTCTTTGACCTTTATATTCCATTAGTAATTAAGCAAAATCACTTGCCAAATTGCAACTACCATACGCCATACTAAGCATTGAAAATCGATCTCTAAAGCCTATATATTGAAAGATCTTCGTCAAATACCAGACCACCTTTTCGAAGGAATTCCTCGTATCTACAGCAGTTTATCACAAGCGATATTCCTATTCTTAGCTACATTAGGCGACGTGAAGGGTTTGAACCCAGGACACAATCCCTTTAGACAACAATATTAATGGTATGGTACCGTTTTCAATACTGTAGACATCAAAATTTCGTTGTTCACGTGCCCTTCCGTTATTCGTTGCAGGAATTTTCGTGTTATACATACGTCATTTACAATAATAATCACATTTAAGACAACAAAATTATATTTATATTTTAAGCAGAGAAAGAAAGAAGGTAAAAAAAGAAAATGAAGATATGAAAGAGTAAAGTAGAGGGCAACAAAATTGGAAGCCCAAGGACCAACCTACGATACTGGACGGCCATATTGCCAGCCTTCCAAATAGCGATCTTCTCAAACGCCTCGATGGGAAGCACCAAATGCTTGTTCGGCGAGTTGCAGTGGCCCCCGCCTTCCGCCGTGAACCCGTAATTCGGCGGGCAGAAGTTGGTCGCCGTCACGATAATCGACGTCCCAGGAATGCACCACCGCATGTCCTCCACGCACCGGACCTCGAAGCACGCGCCGCAGATCTGGCCCCGCTCGAACAGCGCCTCGCTCAGCCCCACCGTCGCCAGCCCGTACCCGGCCTTCTCGAGGTCTCCGTACCCGCACGCACCGCCGACTTTGTCGCGGGGGTCGACGGCAGCGTAGTAGGTGGCGCGTGCGGAGGTCCAGTCGTAGAGGGAGGGTGAGGCGGTGGGGAAGGGGGAGGAGGAGTGGGAGTGGGAGAGGGCGGTGGAGGCGAGCGCGAGTGGGAGGAGGAGGAACAGGGCGAGAGCTGGCGGCGACATTTCTGCCGTTCTTTGTTTTAACGCCGTCGGCCTTTTGTCGTCGGCGTTATTAATTTGCTTTCTCGTTCGAGGAAGGATTAGTGTGAATGAGTGAGTGAGACTGAGAGGGAGAGACAGAGTACAGGTAAAAACGGAAAGAGAAAACATTTTGCATTTTATTTATTTATTTAAATGATGTTTTTCGCTTTTTAGGCTCATGGGATGGACGCTGTCAATCACGTTGCGGCTCGCACCACTAATTGTCTTCTAATTGTCTATATTATTAATCCATTTTCTAATGCAATCATATTATAATAGACAATCTGATATCAAATGAGTAATTTGTGAGAGTTCAACTTAAAATCTCATTTTGATATTAAAATAGACAATTTGAACTACATTATTACTAGTTTAATTTTTTTTTTAACAAATGATATTATATACATTAAGGGTTGGGGAGTTAGTTAAGATTCAGAATGGACTAGCAATAATATGGTTCGATTCTGGGTAAAAACGAATTTGAACTAAGACATTTCACTTACAAGTAAGTGAAAAGGAATATCACTAGATCGTAGTCGTAAGTGATTTGCTAGCCCAAACTAAAAATCTCATTTTTACATAAATGAAATACCATTAACATAGTATTACATGTCATCTATCGTCAATGAACAAGTCCTCTCCTTTTCGATTGCAATCGAGCTTTCTCCTTCGTTATGTCCATTATACGATATTAGAATGGAATGTACTATCCACATACACTTTTTTACTGCTCACGTACCCTTTGTTAATTTCTATCAGTTGATTTTCTTCAGTTCATTCGATCAAATGGAAAAAAATTAGAAGGATGTGTGAGAAGTAAAACAGAGTGTGAATATCACATTCCTATTGAAATAAGTAATGTGACTAATTAAGATAGGGATTGAAATTTAATTAAATAGCTTAATTAATTGTCACGGTGCTTAAAACGAGCTTCGAAATAGTTTCGGACTCTTCACTTGAAAGTGAGAGGTCTTTTGTTCGAATCTTGTGGATGGCGAATTCAATACCAAAGGCTGCTCTATATGTAGCTTAACTGTAAGATCCCACATCGCCCAGGGATGAGGATCTTGTAAGCCTTATATGTATATTCTCATCTCTACCTAGCACGAGACCTTTTGGGAGCTCACTGGCTTTGGGCTCCATTGGAACTTCGAAGTTAAGTGAGTTCGCGCGAGAGTAATCCCATGATTGGTGACCCACTGGAAAGTTCTCGTGTGAGTTCCCAGAAACAAAACCGTGATGGCGTGGCTGGGGCCCAAAACAAACAATATCGTGCTACGGTTAAATCGAGCTCGAGATGTGATGGATTCCTAAATCAAGATGTGACATTAACTGAACTCTCATTCTCTTTAATATAAAAATATCGATATATTAAAAATAAAAAAAAATCAGGCTCATTGAGCCCGAAAGAGCCCAAACCTCACTTGGTGTGTGAGTGTGACTAAAAATGATACAAGACTAAAAGGGCACAAGAATGGCCAATGACCTGCTTTTTAGAGAGCCTCAAGATTGTGTAATGAAAAATATCGATGTATTAAAAAAATAATAATAAGGCTCATTGAGCACGTACGAGCCCGAACCTCACTTGGTGTGTGAGTGTGACTAAAAATGATATAAGACTCAAAAGAGCGCAAGAAGGGCCACTGACCTGCTTTAGAGAGCCCCAGGGTCGTGTAATGACACAGGTTTTCGAACGCAAAACTGACACTACAACCAAGAAAGAGAAAAGGCCAGTTAAACCTTGTGGCATGGTATGAGCCAAGTGCTCTCGCATAAATCCAACAGCTTGAATTACTTGGTCAACGAATGATTACATTCTCATGGTCGAAGATGATTCATTAAAGCAAACGTGACGTCCGTAATTGACTGATTTCAGAGTTATTATCCAGCTCATCTAAGTCAATTAGACATTTGATTTTGAGATGATACTTGACAATTTATTACATAACTTATTTTAACCTGAAATGAAATAAAACAAAAAAATAAATTTTCGATCAACATGTTAACTAACCAGATTATTATCATATCACCAGTTAAATAACAGATTGGAATAAATTTACCTGAAAATAATCCGTTAAGAAAAATGTTAATTTGGTAATTTTGAATTACTAAAAAACCAACCACAATAGCATAGGATCTAATCTCATATAAGTGAGATTAAATCCTTACGGTTGGATTCTAATACCCTTTCACTTTATCTCTTTCTCTCGGTACCAACTCGACTCCATTTGTCTTCTCTCTATCTCGAAGTCGACGCTCACTCTCTCTCTCCCATCGCCATCTCCATGTCTCATTTTGTCGTCCAAGCCACTACAATAATCACGGGCTATCTCATCTCGTTGTCCAAGCCACCATTGCCAGGCACCGCCGCACTAGTGATGAATCACGACCACCACCATCAACTCCTCCCATAACCCAACTGCAAGGTTGCAAATCGAGATACAAATTCCCAGCTAATTGCAAGGTTCCAATACCATTTCTTTGGTGATTGATGAAAATTGGAGGGTCTAGTTGTCAAAAGAACAACGTGCAAGAGTCTCTTTGACAAGGTTCTAAAGTTTGAGAAACGCTCCAAAAAAAAAAAACTCCATCCATTTTGCATATCTTTATACATTTGATATTTTGTAATAGGGTAAATTACATAGTAGCCCCTCATGTTTGAGGTCTATTACAACCCCATACAACATCTTTAAAATATTTCATTTTCATACCTCAAGTACTATTTTATTTCAAAATAATACATCTGTTACATTTTCCATCCATTGATCCGTTAAGTGATGATGTGGCTGCCACATTTGTGCCACGTGGCAAAAATAATAATTTTTTAATTTTTTTTTAAAAAAAACTTGAATCTTCTAAATTAAAAAAAACAAAACCAAAAACCAAATTCAAGCTGAACCCGCAACCCACCCATACAACCTGCAATGCGCTTCTCCAGCACATACTTTTCGTTCCGAGTTTGCACCTCTTTGATCGAATAATCCGCCAAATGCTTTCGCAATTGCATAATTTCTTGATCATGCTTATGAACTCTAACAACCAGATCCTTCTTCAACATTCTACTATTAGGGTTGTTCGACTCGATCAATGGCATCAACCCATTTCCGTAATCCCCCTCCATGCTCGACCTGCCTGGTGAAAGCGACGTCATCGTAGACGACGATGACAATCTCGATATCCCATTGCTTGCGTTATCAGCCGCCGTCGGAGTACCAAAAACCCGAACCACCTTCATTGATTTCGCTGCTGCCCAATTGGGTCTCTCTTGTTTCCGATACCCCACGACTCTGCTGTGACGAACCGTGATTCGCAATCCTTTCGATTCGATTGTCGACGCCAGCGGCAGCTACCTGATGAGCTTGGTCCTGAGATTCGCGGGCGGAAGGCGGCAACTGGGCGGCCATGGATTCGTGGAGCTTGTACCTGTGCAGCTCGAGAATCTTGTATTCGAGCTGAGCCCGCAACCGAATGTTGTATTCCACCTGCTGCTTGATTGTGGCCTCCGCAGCTTCCATGGCGTACATAACTTGAAGCAAGCTGATGTCTTGATTGTCTGCGGTGACGATGGCGGTAGAAGAAGCAATTGGGTCGGCGATGGGGGGTGTGTAGAGAAGGAAAGATGGTGGGTGCGGAGGGAGGAAGGGTCGTGGGTTAGGGGGGTGCACAAGGAGGGTCGCGGGTGGGGAAGGGGTGTTCTGGGTTTTTGGTTTTGGGGTGGGGGACGCCAGTGGGGTGGGGTGGGGGGTTATCATTTCTAGGTTTTCAGGGAAGAAGATGAAGATGGTGGATATGGGTTTTGGGGTTGCGAGGAGAATAGAGGATTTTGGGAGTTGCAAAAGGGTGGGGGGTAAGGAAGGGATCTGGGTTTCGGGATTTTCTAGTTTTTTTTTTTTTTAATATTTATTTTTTTTTTTAATTTTAATATTTAGAAGATTTAGGTTTTTTTTTTTTAAATAAAAAAATATTTTTTTTGCCACGTGGTATCCACATCAGCACAAATGTGGTATCCATGTCAGCATTTAACAGACTAATTGATGAAAAATGAGTAATTATCATTAATAGCCAAAATTTAACACCAAATTTCATAAATGTTACTTTTTATAAAAAAATTCAAATATAACAGAAAACTCACATGAATAGACCTAAATACCTTCAAAATCGACATCCATATATAGAAGAAATTCAAGAAAGTTGGGATGCATGATTGCAATCATAGTGTATTCCTGACATTCCTGATGCCTGGAATGAATTGTTGTTTCTCCATTTGCTCCATTAGTATATTTGCATCTTGAACAAGCGCACCAATTCTAGTTTGTTTGTGCCATACTCAGTGCACAAATGAGTTAAAAACATATGGTAATCAATTTTTTTCTGCATAATGATAACAAGATATACAGGGCTGATTAATACCCAATTTTTTCCCAAAATTAAGGCTCGATGTTGCTGTTCTCTCATAGTTGAAGCAAGATTGGATCCTGCAGTTCTGAAAGCTCCACCTATAACATATATATGGAGCAGAAGTAAAGATAAGCATGAAAAATTATCCAAATTTTTTACAAGAAAATTTTGAAACAATGAATATTTATGTTCTGTAAATTAAGCTACCTCACTAGCTAGAAGCAGACTAGGGCAATCATCTGCATTGGGTACGTAGAGAAAAACACGTACAGCTGCCAAAAGTTATCTTCCTTATCAAATGGCGTATATAAGAAGGATTGCTAACCTCAGATTCCCAATTTGTCTTGCCATTGACTATTTTTACTCATTGAAAAACTATGTAGTTAGAAGAGGCCACAATTCAGATTTTTTTTCATTACATTACCAACTACATCCTTATTTTATTTGGTTTTAATTTTGAGGGTATTTAAGTCTATTTAAGTGGGTTTTATGTTATTTTTGAAACATTTTAGAAAAAGTGACATTTATGAAATTAGGTGTTAAATTTTGGCTATTATCGATAACTTCTCATGAAAAATCTAACGGAGGTGTTATTTTGAAATAAAATGGTACTGGATGTATGAAAGTGAAATGTTTTAAAGTTGTTGTATGGAGTTGTAATAGATCTCAAACCTGAGGGGCTACTCTGTAATTTACTCTTTGTAATAACATACTAATGTTTTTTTTTATTAGGCTTTTATT